AGTATAATCGCATATCCACTATAAAACTAGTTTATAATAACTATGAGAACATTTTATAAACAGTCGTATTCTATGATATTATGACAATGTAAGTGAATGATAATCCGTACGAGAATAGCTTATAAACTTTATAAGCAAGTTTTATTATCAGTACACCCGAAATTAGCCTCTAGTGAGAAATTATAATACCTGCTATAAGAATTTTTTACACCTCTCATAAAGTAGTTCACTTATTTTTATGTGAACGATTGTTTAATAATAATAAGACGATTTCACTGTCAATATGTAACCTTTAACAAACCGTGTTGTATTATGTCTATAGTCCGTATACTAACGGTTATGGAAGGTTCTAGCAATTCTTGTTCCATATCAGCAACAGCTCGTTTGGCTGTCCCATATAGTATACAACAGTTAAATAAAGAGTACGAGAATTCTGGTAATGATTAGACCGCATTTCTTTCAGTGTACGAAGGAAATAAATTTAGTTATAAACTGAACTTTGAGTAAAATACTAGATATACTAATATGACGTATTTGATCACGTGGGAAATGGGCGTTGTTGAAGTCTCGTTATATTTATGTTCTTTGCAGTTTCATCACTTTACATCATGTTAAAAATTCTATAAGAACTGTGCGAATCAGTAAACAGTAAAAATATTTTGAATATTCTAAGGTACATTAAAAATAAATAATTAATACTCATGGTAGTTTGTATTTCGAAAGACAAATTTAAATTAATTTGGTTTGATACTTTGTTATTCAAAGACACTTCCACTTACCGTAAATATAAGAAATAAGAATAAGATAAAAAACTGCAAATCATCTAGGTCTACAGCTCGGTTGGAAATTTTATTATCTATATAATTTTAGGCATCTCATTTTACTTTTCCAGTTTCTTACAGTATATTTACATCGTTCTCCTATATCGTTTCAACCCCTTTCTTTCAGCTGTACCTCTCATTTCATTATTTTAAAATAAGGATAAATAAGGCAATATGTCCCCTACTATTTGTAAATAATCTTCCTTCGATTATCGTATTTGCATGAAAGAGCAGACGCTTATTGATTGGTTTTCTTGGTACCAGTTAAACTAAGTGAATTCATTAATTTTATAGTACCATAATTTGTATATGAAGTGAAAATTTGTAATAACTAATAGTAGAAGAAACCGAGCCACAAATATTTTTTTGTAATATATTTCATAATATCCTACCTACGGGACCTTAATGAAGGCGGCGTAAAAGGCTTTTTACGCTTCTGAATGATTTATAGATGGTATTTTTTTGAAAAAAATATTGAGAACAACATAAATAGACCTCCAAAGCTATAGTAAACAAATCGTTTAGTAAAAAGCTTCCAACAGTGATGTTAGAGAGAAATTTCAAGTACAAGTTGTTGACAGAGTAGCTCGGATCAAGAAAAAATTGAATACAAATCTCTATAGACTAGGCCATGAAAAAAATCATTACTGTCACAATTCTTCTGTTTTCAAATGTCAATGTAGATTTATTTGAGCTCAGTTGCCAACTTTTGATTTGGACACCGGCGTGTCAACTTTGAAATGGCGATCTCCGAATGGGAAGTCCAGTTTCACTAAATATCTAGTATTAAAGTGACTATCTAGCCTTGAAAATTTAACTAAATGAATTTGTTCATGCGAACTAAAATTTAAAAAAGTCAGACGCACGAATAAAAATGGTAAATGTGTAAATAATTTTGAATCGTTCAAATAAAACTAAAGAAGATGATGAAGAATAGTTACTGACCTAATAAAAGAAGCATTGGTCATATTAAGATTTTGTGAAAGAAAGTATAAAATAAAAAAACAAATAAAATGTTTCTGAAGTAGGCCATGGAAACAATCAAATAATCTTCTTTCTTTTAATGACAATTTGGTTTTAAATCATAGGCAATGCATATTTATCACGGACCTGACTTACATGTTTGACAGTAACTGTCAACTTCAGAATAATTTTTTTGTGGTTTACTCTTTACATTCTTGGGACAGGAAGGAGATGAAAACGATGTAATATTTTTGTAAAATGATACTTTTTATTTTAATCTCTTTATTAAGGATTTAAAGGGGTTTTAAATGGCTCACCGTTTACTAATGTGAAAGAAGAAAGTATGGAATAAACTACATAAGCTACAGTCAATGAACTGGAGTGGGGTAGAATGCCTCTGAACAGCGAGATGCGACTCTATGGGCGCAGACATTATATTTTTCATCTCACTCGGGAGTAATTATAATAACCATTTTCTATTTCACTCTGAACAAATCTGATCTACCGGATTGTGGACCAGACAATAACAAATTGAAACAGATAATAGGCCACCGGAGCGACAATTATTTTTCTTCTTTTTTTTTTAATGACTGGTATCTTTGTTATGCCCATTTTAGTAATTGGAGAAATATTTTTTGTAAATCACTCTTTACATAAATATGTGAAGGAAGGAAATTAAAAAGAAAACAGACAATTAGGTGTTTGCAGAAATTTGATTCTGCTTCAATGATATTTTTATCTTTATTAATAAGAGAACTTGAAAGGATTTTAAATAATCAATTATTCTTCCTCTCTTCATTTTATGGTCTATGTCCCTCAGGACAATTCACCCAAAGATCGTTATTAAATTGAGTAGCATTTTTTTGATTGAAAGGAATATATGGATGGGAAGTGGAAAAGTGGGAAATAAATAAAACACACTCAACTTTATGATATAGTCTCTGTTAATATTTTCAATGAAGACAATCATAATCATAATATCCTTCTATACATTGAACTATTTACAAACAGATAAAATAATTTACAACTTTGAGGCTTTGAAGCCAACAAAAAATATAATTGTTAGTTTTTTTGTAATAATAATTAATAATAATAATAATAATAATAGAATCTTACAAATCCATGATATGGTATTCATCTTTTTACACAACAATTGTCTAAATTTAATTAATTATTTTAAAAAAAGAACGTAACAATAAAGTTCGGTGAAAAACCAGAAAATACAACTAGAATGACTTTGTGAAATTTCGTGTAAGGGACTTGAAGCGTTCTAAGCCTTAAACCAGATCTGCATTTCGGGTATTTTTATCTCCAATTTGCCTTAATAATTTATTTTATTCTCTCATTTATAACAAAGTGGGAAATTCATTTAAGAAAAAAACTAATTTATTTTGTTGAATGTCCCATTTTGACTTCATAATACAAAGATAAATAACAATAAGAATTAGGTGTAAAAAGGATAGGGAATTATGAGAGATTTGGAGGTTAAAAGGAATTGAAGAGAATTGTGGGAATTGACACAATTGCTGGGGAACTGACAGATAATTGAGAATTGCTATGATATTGCTGGAGAATTGACGGGCAGCTGATAGGGAACTGACAGGGAATTGCTTTGAAATTAATGATTACTGACAGGGAAATTGCCAGAGAATTGCTGGGGAATTGTCGGGAAATTGCTGGAGAACTAACAGGAAATTGATAGGGAATTGCTATAAAATTGTTGGGGAGTTTCCTGAAAATTATCGGAGTTGGCAGGAAATTGAGAATTAGCAAAAAATTGCTGGGAACTAACAAGGAATTTCTGGGGAACGACAGGTAGTTTCTGGGAAATTGACAAGAATTTGATAAGGAATAACTATGAAAAAAAAAAAAGGAAAATAATTCCGACTTAAATGTGATTAACGACGTAAAATAAAATAAATAAATACGTGCGACCGTTTTCCTCCAGAAAACAACTACTCCTTTGTCTAATACCACAACAGGTATTGAAATATATCCAAAGGAATGACAGCAGAGATAGAAATTAAATTTCAACACTCTATCTTCGATTTTGCTTACTGAATGTTGAAATTTAATTACTATCTCTATTCTCTTTCCTTTGGATATAATTTGATATAATTATGTGATACATGGCTTCGTGTTTATTTATCTATTTTAAAATACTATGAGAACTGACGAGGAACGTCTATGAAATTGCTGGGAAATTGACGGAGAACTGACAAAGAGTCTATTAGAAATTTATAGAAACGACAGAGAATTGTTATAAAATTGATGGGGAATTTACAAGAAATTGCCGGGATTGAAAGGGAATTGACAGGAGTTTCATAGAGAATTTCTGGTGAATTGACGAGAAATTATTGCTGAGTAACTGACAGATAACTGAAAATAAATTGCTGACAAAGTTTCAAAAATTGACAGGGATTTGCGCAAATTGTACACTTGTGGGAATTGGATAGTAAAGTGGAATTAGGTGTACAAATTTTGATTTAATCCTGGTTAAGACCGTACAATTGTATTAATAGCGAACAAAAAAAATATCATGTTGATCTTTTTGGGCAAATTTTTAATATTTTAATAACTTTTTTAAATTTACGTTTCCTTTTGCTAAACTTGGCACAAATATCAACAAAAAATAAATAAATCTACTTAAAAATATAATAAAACGTGTTTAAATTTTAAAACTCCAAAAATTAAAAATAAATATAGAATGTCCCATTTTATGAAATCATAAAAATTGAATAATTCTAATTTTCTTCTGTTTTGATTATTTTTATTTTAAAAACTTTTTTAAATTCCAATATATTTCCAAAAAATATTGAATAAATTTAAAAGAACAATCTGTATATTGTCAAGATGCAAAGTTTAAATTATTTTATTTCATAAATTCAAAATTTTTGATATCAAATTCCATAAAAATATACAAATTAATCGTCTTTTTTTATTAGGTTTTTAAACAATATTTTTTTTTATTTTCAGAATTATAAACAATGATAAATTATTTTTAATTGAGGATATGTTTATAATTATCCTTTTTTTGTTTATTTAAAAAGACAATCTGTATGTTTCAATTTTAATTCATTTTTTTTTTATAAAAATATACAGCTGTATATAAAATTAATGCATGCAATAATCAATCAAAAATCAGAAATATTAGTTATTTAATGTTTCTTTTGTAAAATTTGTATTTTCAAACATCATTTTTTATTGGAACAAACTCTGATATCAAAAAAAATTATTTTTAAATGTTTTTATAATACTGGGAAAATAAGATTTTTGGACACATTAGATTTAACATTTTCGCAATTCTCCATTTATTGATAAACGGTAAAAGAATATTTTCGAGCTAAAACCCATTTTTTACTTTTTATCCCACTTTGTAAAGAATCTGAAAATTTACTGGAATTTTTTGCTCTAAATTTCATGTGTTAGACAACAAAAATAAAATTTTTATTTAAAACAAATATTTTCTATTTTTATTACAATCATCAGAGCACCCATAAATACAAACTCTATACCCAATCAAAGTAACGATATTTATGATGGTTTTAAATAGCTCCAATCTATTTAGTACTAATTTTAAACCATTAGAACAAAAATACACATATAACTGACAACTTCAAGCCCCCCACGCACGTATAACTCGTGATGGTATACAACAATGTTTACAAATTGTTTAAAAGTGCGAGCAATTTCTATTTTGACCAGAAACTAGTTCGGGACCCATTCACTAGCGTCGCTTGCAGGATCTTCTTTATCTTCATCTTCTTCTTTTTTCAGACATTCCTTTTTTGTTCTTTATCACAGATATAAATAAATGCATTTACACAAATTGTACAACGAGTCGATACCCGTTCACTCACACCGTATATTTGTTTATCTTGCACTTTGCCCGTGGTTTGTCGCTAACGTGGAGGTCGCTTCCCAATCTGAAAAAAAAAACACGACGTTTAGTACAAACATTTTGTATACAGAGTGAAGCGCCTGGAGATGATTCAGACGGATTTTTTTTTATAATTTTTAAATCAATTTACAACCAATGTAAAGTATTAATAACAAAAAAAAGACTAATTTATAAACTTGTGATTGTCACTTGTGCCGAAACGTATTCAGTCTCTAATTCTTTTTTGCTTTGGATTGTATAAATATGAACATTTAATTTAGTTCACTCACTGATTTTCTCTTTTAATATTCTACAAATATTACCTATACCTATTTACATATTTTTTACTATATACAGGGTGGTCCTTAAGCAATTGTACATAAAAGTATCCTCACCTTAAAATATTACGATTTAAACCAACTTGCTTTAATAAGGAATATTCAAGATTAAATTTGAAGATTTTTTATTATTATTAACGTTTTTGGATATGTATGGGCGTCGATACACAATTCTATAGGGAGGGGCAAAATTTTGAAAAAATGTAGAATGTTTATTCGTTGGAAAACAAAGAAAATGAAAAATAAAAGAGAGTTTTCTTATAATGGATTTTATTATTCTGTGACGTCATGGCTTACTTCCGGATTTTCCAGAAATAACAGAAAATTGCAATTTATTTTTTATTTTTATATGAAAACCCTTTTTTTATTGAAAATTTAAATTTAGTGGGACATTTTTGTATAAGAAGCGGGTATTGAAAATTTTCTGTCAGTAACATTTAAAAAAAATATATTTTCCAATATGATCGTCATTTTGACAGCTGACAGAAAATTTTCAACACATGATTCTTATCCATAAATGTCCCTAAAATTCAAATTTCCAATAAAAACGGGGGTTTATTTTTAAAAATTAAAAATAAATTGAGATTTTCTGTTATTTCCAATAAAACAGAAGTAAGCCATGAAGTCACACACCAATTAAATCCTGTATAAAAGAGTATTTGTCCCAAGATTTTAAACAATATCTCAAATGGATGGAATTATTAAACGGTTTGCTAATAATAAAAATGCTTAGATACGCCACTGGTATACGGTAAATGGGTCTCAATGGAAATTTTAAAGCCTAAAAAGATTTTATAAAGTTCGTACATTCCTATATGTTTTTCCATAAACGAATTAATAGTATAACATATTTAGAAAAAAATATTGTTCGATATGGCGGCCATTTTGACAGCTGACAGAAAATTGTCAATACACGATTATTATACAAAAATGTCCCAGAAATTTAAATTTACAATAAAAAAGGGTTTCTTTTCAAAATTAAAAAAAATTCGATTTTCTGTTATTTCCGGAAAAACCGGAAGTAAAACATGACGTCACAGAACAATTGAATCATTCATAAGAAAGTATTTGTTCTAGTCTATCAAACAGAACAAAATTATTCCGATATCTCACTTCATAAGGGGGAGTGGAACTTTAGTAGTAACCCTAACAATGTCACTGACCTATTTGACAAAACTGATACTCAAGTTGTCATAACAAGTCTCTAATAAATAAAATAACCCACATACTTTGATTTTCTTTTACTATACGGAGAATGGTCGCACTGCGCAGCTTTCTGAGTGCCTTTTAAAAGGAGACAGAAAACTCAGCCATTTTGAACCCTTATTACGTGTTGCCTACATCTTGGCGCAATATTTTTAATAGGTGCGTTTTAATCATCCGCTTCTGCTTCGGAATTGTCGGTTTTCTTGTTTTAATCTGATAGGTTAAAACGACTAAACCGACAATTCCGGAAGCAGAAGCGGATGATTAAAATGCACCTGATATTTTGCTTGCTGCTGTCAGTGTCAGTGAATATTATTTTTGAAGTCACAGTTTATTGCTAAAGAATCGGTTAGCTCACTCGGACCAGTTGATAGTTCCAAAATAACATCCATTGCAGGGATACAAATTCAGGATACGCAAAAGACTGCTGTTTTATTATAGGCGGTTGTCATATATTGTATTATCCGAGTTGCACAGTGTATAAACTGAAACATTGAGATCAAAAGTGCCGACGCAGAGTGAGCGATCTGATTCTTTAGCTGTAAACTGTGTCACAGGGTTCAAAATGGCCGCGCCCTATGTTGGGCGTGTCGGACCTCTCTCTTGCCTCGTATAGTAATCAAAGTATGTGAAAATAACCCAACAAAAAAGAAAAAAACTAAAATAGAGAAAAAACAAGAAACAAGAAACTTATAGTTTTCTTGATCCAATATAGTGCAGGTGGCGCCCTCTTTGTCTAATCTCAAAATTGATAACACGCTTATGATTTACTAGCCCAAAAATATACCCATAACAAATTTTGAGTCTAAATAAAAACGAAAATATTGTAAAAAAAACGAAAAATAAATTTTAACTTTAATCTCAGAAATAGATAACATTTGACATTTGACCCAGTGTAATTTAGCGAAAAATATTAATGTTTTGAGGTTAAAATATTTACCACTCCTTATGAAACGCCCTGTGTTCCATTAACATAAAGAAAAACTTGAAATAATGACAAGGGACATCGAAAAAACTTTTTTTGTTTAATAAACAAATGTTTGCAAATGAACCGTTCTGTTACAGTGACAAATAAATCTTCTACTTCAAACAAATTCTGAGATATTTAATAAAAACTCTAATATTTCTTTAAAAAAATAAACAAAGGGAAGGGGACCATTGGACACATTTTTTGATCAAAATTTTTTTGGTCAAATTCTTTTAGTAAAATTTTTTTTTGTCAAATTTTTTATGACAAGTTTTTTTATCAAAATTTTTTTAAGAAACAAAATGTTTAAATGGCCATTGGAACATTTCAGTGTCTTTTCGATTTTCCAAATTTTGAGATGACAAATTTAACGCCGTAAACCGCATCTTTCTACTTCAAACAGATGCCGAGATATTTACTAAAAACTCAAATATTTCTTTGAAAAAATAAACGAGGGGGACCATTGGAACATTTCAGTGTCTTTTCAATTTTAAAAATGTTTGTGATATCGCACTATTTATATATACTGTTTTGTAGGTCTAATAAAGAAAAATTCAAAGCCGTAAACCGCATTTTCTTACTTCAAACAAATGACGAGATATTTAACAAAATCTATAATATTTCTTTAAAAAAATAAACAAATGGGGGACCATTGGACACATTTTCAAAATGTTGACAATTTTAATTCAATGCAAAAATTGCACCGTAGATCCACTGACTCGAGGACCCTATGGAATATTCCTGTAATAGCTTTTATCTGTGTAAAACTAGCCAGATGTTTCGTAAAATAAAGATTTCAGACAAGCCCAAAGGAAAAAATCTAGAGGGTTGAGATGTAGAAAACGCGCGGGCCAGGCCCCAGGACCTTCTCTTCTAATATGTTGGCGAGGAAATCGATGGTTTAAATACTTGTCCACATTCAAACCTAAATGTGGAGGTATCCCGTAAATACATTTTGCAGAAAATGGAGATAAATGTCTACCTTCAAAATAGATTTTCTCCAACAATACCAGTCCACATGTTCACAGAAAATTATTGTTACTGATGTCTTCTAAAAACTACACCATAAGGATTTTCATCATGCCAAATGTAACTGTTTCTACTGTTGAAATAATCATCGCGCGTGAAACATGCCTAACCAGTAAACAATACTTTTCTTCCAAAGTAAGGGTCTATTAAGTCAGTGCTCCGCAACCTTTCCTCATCTGAGGCACACCAAACTGCTCCCTAGAATTTCGTGGCACACCAAAATCTAAAATATATTTATAGCAGTAGCGTAGCTAGGTCGGGGGTCAGTTCACTCCATGTATACTAATTATTTATGGATGTCCAAACTACCTTAGTTTTTTTTATTGTTTTAAAATGTGAAGAAGCCCCTTTCAGATTTGGGGCATCAAAATTTTCACTCAGGACATAATACATATTTTTTTTTTATTTTTTTTTATTATTCAGATAGAATGAAAAATACAAATAGGTACATACATGAGAACTATACTAAATACTAGGTAGGACAGGTAGGTATACTAAATTTACTTCTGTTGACACGTCAATAGTAATAAATATTTTGACATGATGATGACTGATTAATGTGATACCTGCGCTTGCTTCGTTGAACACAAAAGTTTTATATTCGGCTTAATTTTAGACAGCGCAACTCTCATTTCTTGGTCAAGATCTTTTAAGCATAACCGTTTATCATTTTTAATTAATACAAGCGTTGAAAAACTTTGCTCACATAAATATGTTGTGGAAAACGGAAGTAGTGTGAAGATGGCCTTGTCGGTGATGCGTGGATATTCTGTCTTGATGGAAATCCAGAAAACATCTAACGGAACTTCGTCGAATTTAAGTTTTAGGGTCATATCATTACTTAATTCTGTGAACTCCTCTCGAGTTTGCAATGGCAGTGCTTCCGTGGAACTTATTGCATTGGTTGCGAAAGGATTTCGAATCCAATTGTATTGTTCCGTGTTGATAGAATGGAAATAGTATTCAAATTTTTGTTGAAGCATACTTAAATGTTGTTGGGCCAAATCCACAATCAACTGCTTGTTTTCGATCGTACTGTGGTTGGTCCTGTGATACATTTCTAGACATCCTTTTTGCAACTGTTCCTGCCAAACTTCAAGTTTCTTTTTGAACCCTTGTAATTTATCGGAGCACGTCAATATATTTTCATTCCGTCCTTGCATTTTTTTATTAAGTTCATTCAGATGTTCGAATATATCCGCCATGTATGCAAGTTTGGCTATCCAGTATTCATCATGAAGGTGCTGGCATAGATCGTACATATATTGACTTGAAAGAAACTCACGCACTTCGTAGCGAAGTTCAAACAGTCGAGCTAAAACTTTTCCCCGGGATAACCAACGAACTTCTGTATAAAACAGTAAGGATTCATGTTCGCTTCCCATTTCTTCACAGAGTATTCCAAAGATTCGCGAATTTAAGGCTCTCGATTTAATTATGTTTATGATCTTAATACATTCATTCATTGTGATCGAAAGCTGTTCGGGCAAATTTTTGACCATCAAT